GATGATTCTATAACCATACATGTCTTCTAAAATCTTTCAAAACTGAACAACAAAATCTAGTTTGTGGCTCTCTCTCTCTCTCTCTCTATAGGATCAGTTGTTTCTTAGCTGATACCTTACTTTCCACATTCTTCAGAAACCGAACCATGCAACTTCCATGTAAGTATGTAGAACTACAGTTGACATGAAAAAAATTCAAGTCAAATTCAGCTGCATGTTCTTATTTCCACAAAAGAAATTTCTAATTGCATACACGTGAAATTTTTTTCACTTGCTTCAGCTGCCTCAAAACATAAACGAATAGGAAAAAAGAGCGCAATTAAGTAAAACACCATAGAAGTGAACACACATCATAGTAAGAAACAATATCACATAACCAAATAACTTCCCAAAAATCAAATGCAACCTCAGTAACGAAGCAAGCAAACACGATCATTCAATTTGAACAAAATGTAAAGGAAGTACCATCCGGTTAGCTTCAGGAAGCGAAAGCCACTGCTCGAATAGCTTCTGCGCGAAATCAGGATTTGATTTCAAAGCCAGAGGAGACATCTCCGGTAGCTGCAACAAATCCGCGTCCAAACACGCCATATCTCCCACAAAAAGAGTATCCATGCTCATTCACATAACCAAATCAATAATCTCAAGCAGATCAGCCAAACCCTAGATGCCAAAAAAATCGACGCTCAAAAGAACCAACTCCTCCAATTCTTTTGATCTATATATAGAAAGAATTACTCAAACTTTATTTGAAACTCGATGAATGTGATTAAAAATACCAGATTCGGAGGTCTAGGAACACAAGTAACCCTAGATCTTCACGAAATTAAAAAAGAACCTCGTTCTTCGTTTTCATTTTTCTTTCTCTTCCTTCTATGAAGACAGAGAGAGGTAGAAGTGATTAGAGAGATCGGAAGTAAGAAAGAAAATGAAAGAAAATGAGGGGAAGTGAGAGAAAACCTTGTTGGAGAAAACGATGCGATTCAAGAGGAGATTAGCTACGAAAATGCAGAGGATTGAGTAGAGAGAGAGAGAGAGAGAGAGAGAAGAGAGATATGTAGCTTTTATTTTTCCTTTCTTTTTATTTTCCTGGAAAATAAATAAACACCTGAAAATGGTTAACAGAGCAGAGGGACACGTGTCCATGTGGGTTAAAGCGACGAATATTACACGGTTTCTGTCACGTGCGCGATCACGCGTAGTACTCTTGAAAGCATATAATATATATATATATAATTGTAATTTTTTATAATGTAATTTTAAATATAAACTTAATCCAATTTAAATAAAAGTTCAAACAAATTCAATTTAATTTTGATGC